TCGACTTGAAACAGCTTGCGGTAGCCCTCACTATGCTGCCCCGGAGCTTCTGAAGCACAAACATTACCGCGGGGACAAAGCAGACATCTGGTCCTTGGGCGTTATTCTCTACGCCCTTCTGGCCGCATGTCTACCTTTCGATGACCCAGACATCGGAGCCTTGCTGCAGAAGACCAAGAGAGGAACATACGAGATACCCGATTTCTTGAGTGCAGAGGCCAAAGACCTCATTCGCCGTATGCTCGTGGCCAATCCTGACACCAGAATCAGTATCAAGGAGATGTGGCAGCACCCCCTGATTCGCAAGTACAACCATCTCGATGACCTCAGCCACAGCGGCCAGCTCCACGACCTTCGCAAGGAATTTCACTACACCCCCTTGAAGCCTCATGAAGTCGATCCCCATCTAGTCAGACAGCTTCGGTCTCTGTGGCACATGCTCACTGAGCATCAGATAAAATTGAAGTTGATGGATTCTGCGTATGTGGCTATCCGGGTTGTACTTTTTGTAAATTCAACTAATAATGTCCAGGAAAAACGACCAGAAACTCTTTTATTGGCTTCTTTACAATTACCGTCAGAAGCAGCTTGAGAACTTTCTCCCCGAACTTTCTCAGTCACCCAGCGATTATCATCATCTCCACGAACCTGTCTGGAAGAAACGAGTGTCGACAGTGGAGTTCAACCAGCCAAGAGCAGATGGCACTGGCAGAAGTGTCTCACGTTTCACAGTCATTTCGCACGTTGCAGAAACCGACGACGGTACTGTTCAGAGCTACGATCCATACAACTCGAGTCGACCGATGCGAGGCAATTCTCAGGCCAGTCATGCCAAGATTGTGGTTCACCGTACCCGTCGGGCATCCATGAAGCGAGAAAACACCCAGACATCACAGCTGTCACGTATCAGGACAGGATCGACGCTGCGTCATTCACGGGTCAACTCCCAGCGAACAAACAACACTGGCCGTTTCCAATCACCTCGAAGCTCTATGAACTCCCTTCATAGCAGCAGACCGGGAACCTCTTATGCCCGGCCAGCTTCTCGTCATAAGAGAGGTGTTGACTTTTCTCAAATCAGAAAGAAGTCTGCCGATCTGTACGTAGAAAAGCATCGCCGAGGAGTCCCCGATGTCGACGAAGACAACGAAACCCTCGAGAGATCCAAGTCTCCGACAAGGCCCCCGGGACACATCCCCGTCATGGACAGACCCAGACCGAAACTCAAAGTGGTGAAGCCACGAGATCCTGCAGTAATAGTCAACGAGGAGGTGCGCAACTTCAGCAACAGCATCGCCAAGGATTGTGACGAAGCCTTTAACAGCTTCATGAGCGCCGAGGATTCGAGCAATATGTGTTTGAATGAACGTGGTGGCATAAAGAGGGACGCCACAGGCTTGTCTTTTGGACAACCGAGACCATCGACCGAGGCCTCGAATAACCCGTACCACCCATGGGACACCCGGCCCTTGCCCCCGTTGCCGCCCCATGGGTCGGTACAATCCCCGAAATCTTTAATCGAGAGAACCGTAATGTCCCATGACCATACCAAGGATGAACAGCAGCACTCTGGTCGTGTTGGAAAGTTCGTGGATCAAGTCAACCGCTTGGCCTTCCCTGTGTTGTTACCTAAGCAAGACCGTCGCACCGTGTCTGCACCCCCTCAGGAACAGCATGGCAAGACAGCGAGTCGCTTGCCAGCTATTAATGAGAGCGGAAGAGATTCGGACTCTTCATATCATTGGGGCGAGAACGACAAGAACAGGATTGTGTCTGCGCCACCAAAGACACCTGGTGGCCAAACTGACAAGGACGGCCTGGATTACTCGGTTCGGGCAGGCCAGACAATTCGCGTGGTCAACTCGCCGAGCGCAACAAGTCCAGTCCCCAAGCCTCTAAACGTCCGGAAAAGGTCCGCAGAGCCAGCAGGCCACAGAGATCAGATCGACGAGCGCTACATTTATATGCACGGGGCATCGGGTATAGATGAGCCGCTGACTCCCTCCACTGCAACCCACAGTAGTGGGCCGACTAAGCAGAAGAAGTCGTCGTGGTTCAAGCGTACTTCGAAAGAAAGCACTTCTAGAGAGGGTAGCATTCACACCGAAGCAACCCAGGAAACACAGGCGTACAGTATGACGACCCAGTCCACAGCCCCGAGCCGTTCGGAAACGAAGTTTCACGAGCCACCTCCGCCAATGGCGGTCAAGAAGAAGGGTTTCGGTTTACTCTTCTGGAGGAGCAACAAAGTCAAGCCGGAAATCAAAATGGAGATCGTCGGTATGCACAATATCCGAAACTTTGAGGTGGTAGAGCTCGGACAACTGACATCTTTTACAGGCCCAGAGTGTGAGGAGTCGTCTTCTCCGAATCGCCGACAAGCTGTTCAACACAAGACCGGCCGACAGTCGGCTAAGGGCTACAAAGACTCGGATAAAGGTTTGCGAACCATCGAAGTTCATCAGAACTGGCTTGCCCGACTATTTGGGGTCAAACCAGCAACGAGACACATGTGCATGATCATATCGCGGAAGCGAGCTCGGCAGGAACTTGTGGTTCTCCTCAAAGGCTGGCGACGTTACGGCATGGGAGATATTCAGGTCGACAAGGAGAGAAACATTGTGTTTGCCCGTGTTGGGGCTGAGAATTGTGAGTCTTGCCGAACGACATTGGCATAATGTCCAGGAGTTCTCCCATTGGCTAACCTTGCCCAGACTTAGGCATAAAAGAGGTCGCATTTGCCGCGGAAATTATGACCGTGATCGAGCACGGGAAGAAGGGGCCGCTTTGCATTGTGCGATTAACTCAGGAGCGCGGAGCGGCAAGCAGCTTCCATATGGTGGTGGACACGATTTGGCAGGTGTTCGAATCGCGCGGCCTGCTTGTCGCCGACAAGTCCAAAGAGAAGATGATGATCAAAACGCTCAATTCCTGAGGATGGACGAGATTGCATTTGGCGTCAGAAGGTTGGCAGCGATGTTCCATTTTTGGTGGCCGGATTGGGAGGTTGCTCGACTGAGGAGGGCCAGCCAGTGGCCCTCAGGCTATGCTTATTTTTTTCTTTCTTTTCATTTGTTACACACTCTCACCAGACATGATATGCCTGGACTCAGAGCATTGACTGGGCACATACTTGGCGGGCAAGACTTGATTATTATTGAGACACAGGGTTACGGCTCGACATACAAAGTCTCACGAGCATTTGACGGGCAGGAAGACGGCAGATGGATATTGATGTTGTTGGATGGCTTGCCTTGCATCATTCATGGCTGTGGCTTGCATTAATAGTTTGGACGGACTGGATGACGACCAGACGGGTGAAAGGACGGACAAGCCAGGAGACACCGTCCAGGGTCTGGTCGGGACAGAGAAGTGAAGAAGGCATTGTTTATAGAGTCAAGTTGTTTAGGTACCTCAAAAGTTGATTGCTAAGGAAGGTTAGAGACTTGCGTGTTTCTCTCAAGTGCGACGGCAACGGCCGGAAACTGTCGGCATTCATGGGGACGCCGATTGGACTAGTAGCTTTGAGAGCAGACCTCGGCGGCTCGGTGACTCGGAATTACGTTACTCAGTGTACTAGACTAGACGCGGATAGCTCGAACACCGGGTATTATTAGGCTCTGCGTCATACACTGCGAGCACGACAAGTGGGCAGCGGGGGATGGATGCATGCGAAGGGGCGATTATGGAGGTTGGTGATGAGATGTGGTACAATAACCACCTGTCGCAAATTTCTCGCTGGGATCTTTTTACCTTCCATTTCTTTTTTGTCTTTTTCTTTCTTCTATCTTTCTCGTTCTTACCCTTTGTATTGATTCCTAGCGGAAAGTGGATTACGGTGCAATTTCAATTGGCTGGCAGCCCTTACACTAGGTACTACTACCGAGAGACCTTCAACTGCGGGCCGCCTCGTGGGATCCTCTTCAGCCGCCGTGGCCCTGGCCGGCGGCGACATGCGCATGTCCGCCGTGATCTTATCGCGGCCGGATCCGACGTCGGATTGGGGAACTGGAGCACCTCTGAGTTATCGAATCTGCGCAGAACTCCAAGAAGAATCGAGCTTTTTCTTTTTTCCTTTTGTCTTTTCTTTCTATACCTTGTTCCCCTTCACCTGATGGTTTCGAGTAAGAGCGTTTGCTCCGAGCAAGACTGTCGAGAGATCCGAGCCCAAGGACTGTGGAATCACCTGGCACTCCTGGTTTAGTGTTGCCTGCTTGCACTCCTAATGATTTCCCTTGCAAGTCTTATCGCCGTCCGACCCCACCATACATGCTTCCCCCTCTCGTCCGTGTTGCCCTCTGAACCAATGAGATTTTGCCAGGAGGCATTTCAATGAGGTCATTGGTAAGCGGTGTTGCTACAACGGTGGCAAGCGGGCAACTTACACGGCCTAGGAAAGGAGATCGTCAGTCAGCCTTTATGAGTAACAGAATAGAATGTACACAGGTGATCCTTCTTATGCCATGGGTTGATAGTTTGTGTCTGTCTCTTTGCCGTCCACTCAGCCAAGAGACATTGCTATCATGGAAGGCTGGCTGCGTGCTAATCAGGCGAAATCGCGGAGTAGATTTAGTTTTGTACGGTTGCGAGTACGGCTGAATGTGTCCAACTTGCTTCAAATTATCACTATCTCTTTCCTTTTGTTGTTTCTGTGGTCAGCTGCTCGGGGAGGCCTCGAGCTTTGGCTCGAGGTGGTCGAGTCCTGGCTGAAGCTGCGACGGAATGCTTGGTACATTCCTTCCAGCGAGGCGGGCGAGCACATGCAAAGTTGCCGCGCTGGCTGGCTTTGTCAGGATAAGGTATTCGGCCTCTTACGGTCCTCTGGTTTCATGCTGCAGCTTCCCCACACTTTCACAAGCTTCCCCGTAGCGTAGCACCACCGCCTCTAACTTTTTTCGTCTCCCTTTGACAAGGCTTCCTTTGTAACCCGATCTTCTCCAACAGAACAGGGCGACGCGACGCTTGGGTCTTCTCCTCTTTCCCCGCTGTCCGGCTCTTGAGCTCTCCCTCCACCCGAACTAGCCCGATTACTGCCGACGACAATGGACGGACGGGAGGGATGCTGGCTGCTTCTGGTTCCTCGACGACGCTCTCCCCCCACCCCGGGCCCTGGCAACCCAGAAAGACATGGACGGGATCGCTACTACTACTACTACTACCCAGTACATCGCTCACGATGACACAAATACCTGCCCTGTCGGTGCAGATACCCACCTGTTTGCATGTACCTCGCGTGGGGCCGTCAAGGTTCCCAAGGGTCCCTTTTGCCTCTATACTACGCTTGTTCTCGGCTCTGCGCATGCATCATTGCCAACCCATGTCATGTCACGGTTGCGCGCCAGCCAACCCCTCGACTCGCTCGTCTGTGCCGAGCTTGCGACAGTACTCGTCGAGGTCCATCGCTTCTCTCTTGACCATTGCACAGCGCCTACATATCACTTTCTCGTCACCCCATCCCAAGTCGTCCGTCTTCCTCTCCCTCGTCTACTTCCTCTAGAACCTCGGCCTCTTTTCTTCATTCACAACGCCCTCTCCCAGAGCAATTGCCTTCCTCTTGAGGCTTCGAAGATACCCCCCACCAACCCAAATTCGTACAAGACGCTTACTCTAAACGTGCCGTCTCACGGCTAGAAACTTGTGAGCATTCCTCTTTCACGTGAAAGCACCCCTGCCACGACCCGAGGTGCTTCCGTAGACCAGCCGCTGACCGTAGACGACGATCCGAGTAGGGCGCGATTTACTTCGTAAACACCATCACCAAGATCCCGCACACACAACCAGAATGCCGTCCACCGAGTCCATCCTCCAGGGCGTCAACGTCCTGGGTACCGTCACGGACGCCCAGCGGAAGATCCTGACTCCCGACGCCCTCGCTTTTCTTGCCCTGCTGCACCGCTCCTTCAATGCCACCCGCAAGTCTCTACTCGAACGCCGCAAGGTCCGCCAGGCCGAGCTGGACCGCGGCATCCTTCCCGACTTCCTCCCCGAGACCAAGCACATCAGGGAGAACTCGACGTGGAAGGGTGCCCCGCCCGCCCCGGGCCTGGTCGACCGCAGGGTCGAGATCACCGGCCCGACCGACCGGAAGATGGTCGTCAATGCCCTGAACTCGGACGTCTGGACTTATATGGCTGACTTTGAGGGTGAGTCTGCGCCAATCCCCATTCCTTTTGCCAGCCCATTGATACTGGCCACTTCGGTGTGCTAACTCCCCACCGCAGACTCGAGCGCCCCGACGTGGGAGAACATGGTTAGCGGCCAGGTCAACCTCTATGATGCCAACCGTCGCCAGGTCGACTTCAAGCAAGGGCCCAAGGAGTACAAGCTACGTACCGACCGGACGCTGCCTACCCTGATCGTCCGCCCCCGCGGCTGGCACCTGGAGGAGAAGCACGTCACCGTCGACGGCGAGCCCATTTCTGGCTCCCTCTTCGACTTTGGCCTGTACTTCTACCACAACGCCCACCAGACGCTCAAGATCGGCATTGGCCCATACTTCTACCTCCCCAAGATGGAGTCCCATCTCGAGGCTCGCTTGTGGAACGACGTCTTCAACCTCGCCCAGGACTACGTCGGCCTGCCACGCGGCACCATCCGTGGCACCGTCCTGATCGAGACCATCCTGGCCGCCTTTGAGATGGACGAGATCATCTACGAGCTGAGAGACCACAGCTCCGGTCTCAACTGCGGTCGCTGGGACTACATCTTCAGCACCATTAAGAAGTTCAGGAACAACTCCAACTTCGTCCTGCCGGACCGCAGCGCCGTGACTATGACGGTACCCTTTATGGACGCCTACGTCAGTGGACTTTCCGCCCGTCGTGTCTGTTTGTGAGAGGGTGAGAGAAATGTTAGACTAACATTTTGCGCAGGTCAAGCTCCTCATCCAGACCTGCCACAAGAGAGGCGTTCACGCCATGGGCGGTATGGCTGCCCAGATTCCCATCAAGGACGATAAGGCCGCCAACGACAAGGCCATGGAGGGCGTTCGCGCCGACAAGCTACGCGAAGTGCGCGCCGGCCACGATGGGTGAGTTCGTTTCTCGCTTGCTTACTGCCTCGTGCTTCCTCGTCACAGGGGCCAGCAGCCACTGACACCAACATTGCAGAACCTGGGTCGCCCACCCCGCCCTGGCGGCCATCGCCTCCGAAGTCTTCAACAAGAACATGCCGACGCCCAACCAGCTGTTCGTCCGCCGCGAGGACGTCAGGATCGGCCAAAACGACCTGCTCAACATGAACGTCCCCGGCAAGATCACCGAGGAGGGCATCAAGAAGAACCTCAACATCGGTCTCGGCTACATGGAGGCCTGGATCCGCGGCGTCGGTTGCGTCCCCATTAACTACCTCATGTAAGTCCAAACCCCCCAAGAGCAACGCACCGCGCGAAGCGACTGCGCAGAAGGAGACTTACCCATACCCCACCACAGGGAGGATGCCGCCACCGCCGAGGTCTCTCGCTCTCAGCTCTGGCAATGGGTGAAGCACGGCGTGTCCACGGCCGAGGGCAAGAAGGTCGACAAGGCCTACGCCCTCAAGCTCCTCAAGGAGTCAGCCGACGAGCTGTCCAGCAAGGCGCCCAAGGGCAATAAATTCCACCTTGCCGCGCAGTACTTTGCCGGCCAGGTCACCGGGGAGGACTACGCCGATTTCCTGACCACGTAAGTTTCTTCCACGCTCTCATCTCCATCCCTTCACCCCTCAATTCACCCGTTCATCCATCCACGCTGCCCATCCTACGTCGACACGTCGCCACATCGCCACCGCTCGGCGGTCGGGGCTTGATTGCTTTTCGTCGGCGTTCCCGACTTGAGTGGCTTATCGCGCCTTCGGAGATTGTCCATCTCGAAGCCCCGGGCCTTTGATGAGACGCCGGTTGGGCTGACGAATCACTTTTTCACAGTCTGCTGTACAACGAGATCACCACCGTCGGCAACGCACGCCCCGCTGCCAAGTTGTAAGCTGTTGGACGAGGAGAAGGAGGAGAAGCAGGAGCTAGTCAACAAGTTTTAGCTTAGGGGAATAACGAGACTCCACGCTTGCAATATGCGATGCGTGTTGGAACGTCTGGTCCACAAATCACAACCCATCCACTGGGGTTGGTTCAGGAAAGGGGGATCAAGTTCGGGAATGAGTCGAGAATGTATGTTTCACCGATGGATGGGTCTCGGGGGAAGAGTGGGAGGCAAAAAAACAAATCGTTTGGATCACCACGTTTGTTGCGACGGGGGAGGGGGGAGATTGACGGCTACGATGTGGGAAATCTGTTCTTGTATTGGCCTATAAGTGTACAGACAGAATGAATGCAGATCAAGATCTTTCTTTCTTTCTCATGCATATACCCCCCCCCGTCGTCTCCTCCCCTTTTAAATGACGACTCTACCAGATATCTGTTCCAAGGCGTACTTAGACCGCCGTTCGCCCCGAGGTCTCGGAGTCCTCCAACACCCTCTCCCCACCAATGGTGCAGAGAAGGCTGCTCTGTGGCTTCGGGCGTGGGCTTGACGGGGTTCCTTTGGTTGGCCAGGAGGGGCCCCTCTGTGGCTTCGTGGCTTCGTGGTTACGCGGAGATGCAGCAGCAGCAGCAAGATTTTCTCCGCGGACACGGGAGGCAAAGGACGGGTTTCTTAGCTGTTTAGGTCTAGGTTTTTGATGATGAACGATGAGACGGGCCGATCGCGAGGGCTTGCCCTCGCGACCATCGACCCCCAACGACGCTTCCAAGGGGTAGGTGTATTGACCAAGGAAACACCACCGTGTGAACTGGTGGGCTGTGCGCCCTCGATTGTGTGTGTGTGGGTGTGTGTGAGTGAGTGAGTGTATGTGATCTGCCGATAAAAAAAAAAAAACAAGAAAGGCCACCCAGATGGACGGCCACATCGTGATTGGATCCTACATGCCGCGCGCGCCTCGCGCTTCGCTCACTTGCTCGGCGGCGTTACCTCCGAGGAGCGTCAATGACGTCTTGCGTTGGCACAGGGCTAGAGTGGACGACGGTTCTGACCGTAGCACGATCTGTTGGGAAGCGCTAAAGAGTGTCATTCACGGACGGGGTCGGCCGGACATCGGGTACCCGCCGGAAGCGGGCCCGTGGCCGAAGTGGTACATGTTAAGCGGGGGATATCGCGCAAGTGATGATCCGCTTACCTAGTTGGCATGCCTTTGCGGGTTGGGATGCCGTCCGGGAGGAGGTGAATAATGCCCGATTGCCTCTATCGTTGCTATTCTATCATATCGACAGGTCACAACGGGTTGTTTCAGTGCATGGCGGGATGGTCGGGCCCTCCAGGCGATGAGTGAGACAGCCCGTGACCCGCAGAGGGAGGCTGATGGAAGTGCCGGCCTAGGACGGGCTACCTTACGAGCATGGAGCGGGCCGTCTGGGCGAAGGTGAAGTCGTTTGGGTTGAGAGGCTCTGTCCTACCGTGTTCTTATTCGGCTGGTGAGGTATCAGCCAACGTTGGAGGAGTGATGCTTTCTTGTCTTCATGGGGGTGAGGGATCTAGAATATCCATGGAGGTGGGGAGTCTTGGCTGGTCGTACGATCGGGGCTTTCTTTTAGGAGGATCCAATCGCCCCAGTCTTCTTCGCCATCTTCAAAAAGGAGCTTCGAGATGCTTGGCTCGACCTCAGCCAATGCTGATCTGTGGGGGGAGGGTGGGAGGGCGTGTGTGTGTCGATATGCCCATGCCGAGGATTGCCATCGTTGGGAGGGAGCTCAGTTCCCTCGCCCAGTGTTCGCATCATGTAACCGAATTCGGCTCGCTTCGTGGTATCTCAGTTCCTTCTATGGTGATTGTTGGCCGAGATTGAATCGGATTATCTAAGCTATGCGTCACAGTAAGTCAGGACAATGTGATGGGTCGTTTCTAGGTGAAGATACCAACCACAAATGACGGGTTAGCAGACGGACCCGCCGCGAAGCAGTTCAGGGCTAAAACGAGGGGTGTTGGCTTGACCACATCAAGTCCCTGGGATGAGGACAATTTTTCTTTTCTTCCTGGTCCCGAAAGTTTGGTCATTTGTGATGAGTCGGTGTCACGAGACGTTATGGCGAGCCAGGAGGCGCGACATTCGGAGAGGCACTGACGATATGACTGGTTGACTGGGGATAATGTTAGACCCGATAAGCCTGGAAAGAAAGTGCTCTAGCTTGAGCATACAGATGTCTTGTCTCTGATCTGAACACCAGAAGCTGGCTCTCAGGTCGAGTTGGGTCGAGCGGCCGAAACGAGGAAAAGAAAGTCGTCCCTAGTGTCTTGTTCCGTTGCCGCTGCTTTGGGCCCTGGTCCCTTCTCCGCGTCGCTAAGCTTCGAGATATCAAAAAGCAACTTGACAATAGACGCGTGCTGCGTTTCCTCTTCTCTCTTTGGCGTAAGCGGTGAGAGTCAAGCTTGTTCGTATTTGAGGCGGGCTCCATTTCCAAGGAGATATCGAAGTTGGTGTGCTCGCTGTGCCTACCTATGTGCAAACACCTTCCAGATGACCCCGGTTGTCATCAAAGCTTTGTGTTGGCCGAGACAACGTTAGCTGCAGCTCATCTTATCGGCCAAAGTTGATATAGGTCTGCTGTTCACGACGTGTCTCGAGAAACTGTGGGTGTGGTAATTTGGTGGGGTTTGCTGTTGGCTGCAACTCTTGATTATTTTGATCCTCGTGTGTGATACACAAACCACGAGGGCGGGTTGGTTGACTTCGCCGATTGGTGATCGTTTGGCCCCTGCTGAAAGTCCGTTATGGATACCATGCAATCGGTGAAAAAAGAAGAAATATGCGACACCGATGAGATTACCCGGTGTCGTGTAACCGAAGCATAACACCTGCTCTGCGACGACATCATGAACCGTGCAAGCGGTTAGCCAAGATTCAGCACACACATGCTGTAGTCGCTTCGTGAATCCCCCTCTACGAGACCCCACGCCGACTTGGAACCCCGCTGTGGTCATGTCCCAGTAACTGGAAGGTACCGCGCAGGTTGACTGAGGCTTTCAATGCCAAAGTACTTGAGGGAATGTATGAGACGCAAAATATGACATATGGGGAGGCAAGACTAGCGGCCCTCCTAGCGTCGAGAATACCGTATTGGTGTCGTTAGGTTCTTAAAAGCAACGCTTCGTCTCGGACCCTCTCTCAGCAACCTGTGAGACAAAACAGCGTCATGAATCCGTGGCAGCTGATACCGTGAGATGGGGAATGTGGGTAGCGTTTCGATCGCTGCGACGCGGCTGTAAGGAAAAGCCGCGGTATCCGAGGAAGAGAGAAGGATAAGCAGAAAACGATGACCACTGTTGGAGACCGCAGTAAGGGGCTCTAGTGTGCACTCAATTCCCAGCAATGGAATTTACCCCCGCAGCTTATGAGTGGGTTGATAGAATTCCAAGTGGAAGTCGAAGGAAAGGCAACGTGATGTGCTTCATCCAGCAGGGAAAGTACCATCTGTGATAGCCCGGGCTGGTTGAAGGAAGATCAGAATACAGATTGGACCAATCAAGGGTCATGGACCAGGCCTCCGACAGAGTGGAACTGGGCCAAATCTGAGAGTTGCCACCGGGTTCAGTGCCCAGAAACCAAGAGTGATTGCCGTTCATGCTCTGGCGAGATTTGTTGTGTGTCCCCAGCAGGGGGGGAGGGGAGGGGGGTATGAAAACATCGAGGACGCAAACATCGAGTGCGGATGTCGATCGGGCCCGAGAACACTTCTAACCAGGAAAAAGCTATGCTTGTGTCTCACACAACACAGGGCTGACCCAAAACCCAGGATGATATGTTCGCGTATCCAAAGTTGTCAACACTTCGGGACCGGTTCGGCCGTGTTTAAAGATGGGGCAAAGGAACTTGTTGAACAATGCGTCAGTCTCAAGGGGCTCGGGTCATAGTGCACCGTACATGCAGACCTTATGTGAAGCTGGCAGAACTGAATAATGGAGCCGACTTGTCTTAACAATATTATGAAGGGGATTCACTGGATAAACTCGCCGGGTCGAGTGGTGCATTTGGATATCCCGAGACTCACGCCGGTCTACGTGAGACACAGGAGAATTCATGGCCATATCAGCCGAGAGAAGAGCCGCAGATAACCTGCCTAACACCCGGAAGGCAGAGCGGCTGGTGCAATCTGTAGAAAACAGTGGGGGCATCTTGCAATGCGTGGCCGATGAATGATGTTGGCATGAGAGTTCCGGACATGACCTTGAAGGGGGTTGGTCCTGGGATACGGGCGCATGAGAGATAGTTGTCGATGGATCAGCCGTAGACATGTTGAATTCTGGGAGAGAGTCAGTATATTGGCCGTATGCACCACACAATCCACTTCCACTATCTTCGATGCCGAAGTTGATTATTGTTATTGATGCGGCGCAGGCGAAGATACCTTCTCTGGCGATGGCGCTTTTGTTGGCAGAGTGCAAAGACGATCTGAATGGCAGCTAGGGACGGTGGGAAGGTGACATGATAATGAGAGGGACGCGCTGACACAGAAAATGGGGACTTGAGAGCTAGAAACCGCGTGTGCCGGTGACGTCTATCCTGGTGTTTGTACTCCGAGAGTCATGATTGTCTGAGGCAGAGCTTTGTAGTTTGTCTTCCATACTCGGCACGGCATCTAGTAGACACTGCTGACGACGATGGCGACGAGGGTGATGGGGTAAATCAAGCAGTTTTGGTGATGGAGGTGATGGAGGTGATGGAAGCGATGAAGCGTAGTCCCCCGCCTGGTCTCGAGGAGAAAGAAGCTGAGTTTTGTCGAGGTCTGAGGAAAACCTAACAGACTTGGGATGGAAGGGGCTGAAGAGGAAGCCTGGCTGGATCCAAAAGGGTCTGTGATGTGCATGGATGGAACTTGCAGACAAGATTTGGTGGCTAGCGTCCAAGGCGAGGCAGATGTGGAAGTTGACGGCTGCCACGATCGAGGCGGGCGAAGGGCACTGCACTGATGGCGTAGATGCGGCGTAGCTCTAGCCATGAAGCGTCTTGTTCTCTCAGGTGGCCACGCCGCGTTGGCCGTTCATAGGCAATGCATGGGCCCAAGGGCGAGGACGGCAGCGGCGACTGCGGCGACAGGGACGTATGGGGAAGAGGGGCGAAGCTGGGAAAAGGGAGCATCTCATGCGCTAGTGCTCCAGATGTAGGGGTCTAGTAGCAGTGAAGGCCGAATTGGGCAATTCGCCGATGGACTGGCACGGGCAGGAGGATTGCGGTGGAACAAGGGAGTTTGACTTGTTGATTTGGGGGGGGTTGATCAAGAATGGGATTGTCGCAATACGACAAAGCGGCCTGAGTGCTGGGTGAGACGAGGCAAGTTAAAGATGATGGATAATGAATGAATAAGGAGGTACCTAGATGCCTGGCTACCTTAGGTAGGTAGGTAGGTGTAGTTGGTTAGGTCGCAGCAAGGAGAGCGGCACGCACGCACGCACGCACGCACGCACGTTGTAGCGACCGACCAACCCGACAGCTGGGTCACTAGCAGAAGAGAGCGCGGGAACGGTGCAATCTCAGGATGGGATGGCAAGCGGCGGCAAGCGATGGCGGCAGCACGGGGCGCTGGGAGACGTCAAAGTCCTAAAGGGTCCAGTGCCGGTGGTCCGGGTCAGAGTGGCTTCAGCAGCTTCTACCCAGAGACACGACGATCAATGGCAGAACCAAAAGGGCCAACCTGATTAAGCCTGCATCGCTGTATCTAGTGCGGTCTACGATGGCGCGGTAGCTTATCTAGGCAAGGCAAGGTGTGGTTAGGCTGTTCGGGCGGGCATTGCTTCAAAGGGGGGAAGGGGAACAGGGGAGGACGCTTGGATGCTTTCATTCCCGGTGCCTCGCGATGCGGTAGTGGCGCGCGCGTGAAAGGCAGGGGGGGGGGGGGGGGGGGGGGCAAGCAAGAGAAAGAAAAAGGAGCAGAAAAAGGAGACGACGGACTGAAATGCCCGCTTGCAGTGATGGAAACGGCAGCAGACTCGCAGTAAGTGCCCGACAGAATAGAACAAACATACGTAGTTGAAGGTTAGGGCGGTTAGAAGATGCAGCTGGTGTAAGTACAGGTACATGTTCATCCATGACCCTACATCCCACCGCGAAGTAGGTATACCTGCCGTGCTGGTAAGAAAGGGGGGTTTAGGATCGGGTGCAATATGGAAGGATGCGCCCTCCCTGCCCTGGGCAAAGAAAGTTGGTTACTTTGGTTCTTGAT